CGACAGCAGAGTGAAGAACGAAAATTATTCTGTCTTTCCCTGAGCCGTACACTCAAACAGATCGCCTCTGACCATCCCTTGGATGATGTGACAAATATCCGATGCGGAAAACCGCGCCTCTCTATCACTCTTCCCGAACGAGCCATCGTTGGACTGCAAGACAGGAGCGAAATAAGGAGGCCTTTAATACAGCCGCTCTGTCCTGAAACTCGGTGTAGTCATCAGCCGCCGAGTGATTTCGAATTCGCACGAGCCCCATTGTTCGTGACGAGCTAGCAGAATCGGATTCAGAATACATGAAAAGTTTGATGGTAACGATGATGATGATGATGACGATTATGATGATATAATAAAAACTGATTCGTTTTCACACTAGCTGATGGAAGTGAGTGCTCTCAGTGATGACGAGTAGACAGCCTCGTTCTGACGGCAGCGGTGGTGACCGCTTCCGGTTGAACTCTGCACCGATCCGGGGCGGCCGCTTGAGCGGGGAGAATGTATCTACAGCGAGATGACCAACAAGATACAAGATGACACTGGAATGAGATAAATGCTCATGACGCGCTCGCCGCAATCGGTCAAGGTTGGGGCGATTCCACCAGAACTTCACTGGACGTGAGAGCGCTCGCGACAGTCCAGAGCCGATCTTGATCGAAATTAATACTACCGTAGCCGAGGTTGTATATCTACGACATCCGGTCCCGTGTGCTCCATAGGGATCGGGCAAGTGAAGAATCATCGGAATACTGGCGCGGATAGTTTCGTCAAAATTCTACTGCACCGTTGGTCGTCTGGATTATTCTGGCGTGATCGGGGCATTACACTGATCACTGTGAAATCGATTCATAATCGGATGAGAAATTAGGAACGGAAGGAAGAATTAGTACGAAGACGGGACGGGGCGTGATGATGTCCATCGGCGAACCCTCGCGACTCCTTTCCATGGTTGCATTATTTTCGTGAGACTCGTTTCAAACTACCTCGGTCAGCGAAGCAGATTTTTCAGCGTTGTTACGTCGTCTCCTGATCCACAATGTCCGGCAACGTGTGAGTCTGAACCACCGTGGCGGCTGTTCCAGTCCAATTCGATTCAGCGGTACTTTTAGCGACCGGTAAAGCGGGTGTCCGGGTAAAAATGCCCGCTACTTCGTGAGCTGCTGCTGCTGCCGCCACCACTGTCGTTGTCGTCAAGAACAACAGCTACAGTACCGCTGTATCCGTGAGAGCTTCCTGACGAGGCGCGCTGTCCTCAGCTAGCCTAGGTGGTGGTGGCGGCGGCGGTGGCGTCGACGGCAGCGGCAGCAGCAACAACCTATCGGAACCACATACTACAGCATATACTTCGACCGAGCAAGGCCCAATACAACTACTTCGTGAAGTAAACTGACGAGCGAGTAGGTTCTGCTATCGTCAAGCTGCCAACTCTCGTCCCGTAACTTTGTGACGGCCGGCGGCGGCGGTGAAAAGTGAGCGGGTGCCCCGTAACGGAACGCCAACAGCAGGCTCACTGATGCGTACACGGATCTCACTCCAGATGGTGGGGGCCCTACGTTCTAACTCTATGGATTTGTCCGCAGGTGAAGTCCTGCAATCCACACGGTGGACCATCGTCCAGCGGACTGCTTGCCCACCGTTCAGGGTAGGCAGACTTTGGGCCCGTTGACCGGTCATACCTTGGAGTTTCCTTCGCTTCGAGGAATCGAGTCGAGAGAAAGTATCTCTCCGAGTCCTAGTCGTGCCGCGATCGCGCTTGAGCCTGATTCGAAGGCACTGCTCATCGGTCCTCTCAGGTTGAGTATCTGGCATCGGAAATTGTGGAGATCCCCTCATCCTCGCTACTGGCTCGATCGCTATCGAGCGCGGCAAGTGGATCCCGTAGACTGCCCACTGTCCATTTGAGCGGGCGGAGACCCGGTCATCCTTCCATCCGTCAGTCCCTACGCTGGCTTACTCGCTCCGGTTCCGTTGCCGGCGTCGACCCATATCTCGATTCTGCTTTCACTGTTTCGCCACCATGGGAATCATCCTAACCCCAGCCAACACCATTCGAGGGCTTGTATGAGCAGAAAGTTTTGCCTTGATGATGGGAACGCTGCTGGTTTTGTCTCCAGGGGCTCTCGACACCCTCCGGTGGAAAACGAACTTGATGGATGCAATGCGCTATCATCAATTTACTGATGCTTCCAGCAAAAATCGAAACTTATGAAGATCGTGAATTATGAGGGCGAATCGAGCTCATAAAATGCAGCATCCCCTTCGTCGCTCGATCACTGCTCCGAAAGATCGATGGTTCGGCTTGACGATGACCTTCGTCTCCGTAAACCTCGACCGCAGGACTCTTCAGCGCTCGGAATTCAATGTTTCGAAGTCTCGAGGTATCCCGCAGCGAGGGGCGACCGAACGTTCCTGGTCGCTCGAGACCCAATGATTCGGGATGATTTCCCGGGAGACCGGATGTCATCCCGGAGCTGGATGGATCATTGCAGTCCCAGGTAGTCTGTAAAAGTAAAAAAGGTCTGCAAAAGTATTGAGTCTCGCTTCTTCCAACAGTCAGTTGTTCCCGCTCCTCTTACAGAGTTCAAACCACGGTCTTATGATTCAGTTGGATACACTCCTTGAAGCCCGAGCGAGTTTGATCAATTTCATGCTGGCATCGGTTTGGCACAACAATGCGAACAAAATATTTCTCGTTGAAAAAGCGCTCTGCTGTCTCGGGTCACTGGCAGCCCCCCGCGAATCTCTGATTTCCATTTTGGACTATCGCTCGGGCTCTAGTTCAACACGTCAACGATGAACGTTTATCATGGACCTGTTGAGAGGAACGACCTTCTGCACATGCTCCAGATGCGGTCTCTAGGACGAGCTACGGGTTTGGAGTCGCACCACGTGCTCATTAAAATTTGTGAAAGGTGGCCGGTCCCTAACCAGGAGCTCCCAGTACCCTTTCCATTTTGATACTATGGCGGGTTGGGTCAAGGCTCTGAGATAGCGATGCTCTAGTCTGGAAACTAATCATTTGTTTGTTGGAGCAGCCCGTGAGTCTCGCTGCGAGAAAATCCTTATCCGATGTCGGCCATTTCACAAGATGTTCTCCCTCAGCTTCGCCAAAGTGATCGTGGTCATCTCCCGGCAAGCTCCCACTAAATCTGATGGGAAGAATTCCAGAGCGCGGATGGCAGCTCGGTTGTGCTCGTCGCAATTGTCCGAAGCATACGAAAACTATATCACACCCGCATCGCGACTGGAGAAGCCTCGAAATCCATACATTCTTCGTGAACATATGACTCAGGAGCATTGTTAATCGACGAAATGGGATTTTCAGGGAGTTTAGGTGGACACAACTAGGTTACAACAACGAGTTGCGTTTCCCGACCTGTCCGAGAAACTCGCGAAAAATGACATCTTCGTTTACCCCGGGAGAGGATCTGGTTTTGAGTGCGGGCTCGCTCGTCTCCATGTCCCGCGATTCCGGAATGAAGATAGCAAGAACGTTTTTGAATTTATATATATATACGTCGTTTTATTAACACTTCTCAATATAAATATATATGGTCTTTATGCTTACCTAAGCAAGTTGCATATGAAATGAACAGAAATGGGCTTGCAACGCCGCTCTTTGCGACACGTTTGGCAAAGTGAGAAACATTCGCCTCTGTACAAAACTGATCGCGAGCTTAACATTGCCGCCACTGCAAACTGGCGTCCTGCGGCGCAAAGCGCCTACTGGATTTCATGACTATGTACATTTGGTTGAGTAATATTATGATCGGATGTTTTCAGTCGATTACAGCTAGAAGACATTTATCTATGTAATATGATTTAATGACAGGAGCTTGAAGGTAGCACTTATAATCAATTGTATCGTCGACATCAGAGAGCCTTCTGGCAGACGCTGATCATGGACAGAGAAGCTTAGCTTCTCTCCTACTCTCTTATTGTGCAGCAGATGATCTCAAAAAAAAGTGCCGTTCTCAAAAGATTGTTGCCAAACTAAACAACAGGTGGCTCGACATCAGCGTCGTGTTGACAACTCCGAACGATGAGACTCACACCAAGACACGCACGCACGCTCTCTCTCGCACATTTTCACAAACGCATTCAACATCGTGCAGTGTGTTGATTGCCGGGGCCGATTTCCGCGCAACACTCGGGAATCTGTTCCACGATCCTCGCCTCCGAGAGGAGCTCCGTGAGGTCGTTTCGCGAGCCGACCTCGAGCGGATCGGCGGCGAAAAATCGAATAATTTCATTTTGGCATTCAGTTTCGGCAGTTGAACGATCTAGGTTATGTCCCTGACTGTGACAGTAAATCTCGTTTGTCGCCTAGGGGATGTCTCCGGAGTTGTTTTACTCTGAACGACCGAATCGATGTGATCAGCGTGAAGACGACAGGGGGACGACGTCTTCTACGGTCGAGGTGGGGGCAAATTATTGTTACGAGTATTCCTTGCTGTCCTGCGGTGTGGATTCGCAGTCTCCTCGAGATTCATCCTCCCGGCGACGAAGTCGATCCCAAGTTTCGTTGGTGTCCGAGAGATAGCGGCGTCGGCGGCGGTGATGGTGGTGGCGGCGGCGGCGATGTTGGTCCTCGTAACTGACTTGACTCACTGAATGACTGGCTGACTGACTGACTGGCTGGCTGGCTGACTGACTGACTGTCGATTTGACTGACTGGACTGACTCCCTATGCATAGGTAGATTCGAAATCGTTGTTAGTTAACGAAAAACAATTGCACTAATGCCGTTCCTGGCTGTTCCGGAGATGGCTTCCGTCTCAGAGACGTTTGTAGCCCTCTCTTTCTCGTAGGTACCACTGGACACGTGGTGTGGGCGCTTTCACTTTTCCTCGTCTTCTCCTCTTGAATATTTTTCCTAGGTAGTTGTTCCTCTGCTCTGGCTGCGGCGTTCTCGGAGTCGGATCCGCCCGCAGAGCGAGAGTGTGACCCCGAGCGTCAATTGGAAAACACTACTCGATCTTTCGGCCCGTCTCAGAGGCCAAGTCATACTGTGCGCGCCAGGATCTCGGGTGTCAGGACAGTGACGGGGACCTGCTTCGTCGTGATGACTGCGTTCCAATTGCGATATACGTATTGACCGTTTTTGCTGTGGAACTGCTGCTGCCGCGACGAGTGCACCATGCACAGGCTGATGATGATAACCACGAGTACAATGACCAGGACCGTTGCTGCAATCGACGCCGTCTGGATGAGGATTCCTCGTCGCTCTGCAAGAGAAGAAGCTTGCTTTAAGATAACGCACGAGGACTGAATGGCATCACGGAAAACGCTTTTTTTCGACGGTCGGACGGGCGGGCGGGCAGATGGGGCAGAACGGAAGGAGCAACTCAGAAGGAGCTGACTCTACGCAGAATGGAATACGCAGAACGGAAAAGGCGACGAAAAACAATTCGCGACGTCAGAAAGTCCGAACGAAGTTGATGGAAAGCGGAAACGGCACCAAACAAAGAAGTAAAAAGAAAGTCTCGACTAGAATAGATACTTACGAATATATGTACCATCAAGATCTTTGAATTCACAACGCTGACCCATATAGCCGTCGGCGCATTCGCAGTTGTAGAGAACGGACTCGCCGATTTTCACCGAGAAACAGTGCGCTCCGTTGAGACAGTACCATTTCGCGTACGCCTCCGGACATGGATACGTTCGGAATGTGACGTTAGGTCTCTGCGTCGTCAAGTCAGCATCGCTGACGGTGGGCACGGAAGGGATAAGCGGCGACTTCTGTGGTTGTTGCTGCTGCTGCTGCGGAATTTGCTGTTGTTCCTGTTGTGCTGTCTGTTGCTGCTGAGAATATGGGGCACGTGCCGGTACCGTTTGACTGGGAGTTGGTGTGTCTAGTATTGGCGATGGATGCCGCGGCAGCAGAGGTGGGTAGTGCTGTGCGGGTCGTGGGTACTGCTGCGGTTGTTGCTGTTGATGCAGCTGGCTGATGTAGCTGGAGCGTGCCTTTGGCGTCGATCGCGTCGAGCATGCGTCTGCAAGAGAGAAAGCAACGAATATTAGTCCAACTGAGCGATTTACTGATTTCTACGCTAATGATTCGATTCGCCGACCCCGGCCGTCGTCGCTGAGTAATCGGATCGTCATGGACCAGCTCGCGGCTGGAAGAGAATCCGGAAGTATCCGTCTGCATTCTTTCGGTACGTGCGGGGGAGGCTCGCTCGAGACACGAGCGCGTCAGTGGTACACAGTAGTGGTGATCGTAGTAGAAGCTTAGGCGGCGGCGACAATGACGGAGCTAGAGAAGAAGATGAAGAAGTCCGCTAGCCTGCTTGCTTGCCTGCCAGTCGTCGTCCTCCTCCTTCATGAGCCGCCGGCGATTGAAGGAGCGTGCGAGGGAGGCCACAGTCCCAAAAAATCGAGGTCAATTTGACTGGCTCTTCTAGCGCTGCTCGCTCCTCTACATGTGTTGTGCACGCGCTGGAGCTCTTGCAGAAGCGGCACTGCTCGAGCCGACCAGAAACACTGAGCCAGCCAGCGAGCGAGCGAACCAGAGAGAGCCGAGAACGCGCCCGCCGAGGGTGCTCCGAGGGCCCCAGCTGCCGCAGAACCCCAAGCAGCAGATCTCGATGCGCACCCGTCCTCTGATTCGTTCCTTCTGTCATTCTTCCATTCATTCTTCGCGTCAATCGTGTGTTCCTCTCCACTTTATACTTCGATTATTATTCATGACTTGATCCCGTTTTCCAATCATCATTGATTGATAACAACTCATCTCATTCATTCATTCACTTATTCATTCGCTCGTCCGACCGTCCGTCGGTCGTAGTTCGGCGAGCGGACCGCGCTGTCTGCACACACTTATATCGTTAACCTGCGTAGACGAACATCTGGCGGGCGCCTGGGCTCGGGTTCGAGATTCCGAATCTTTTCGAGCGCGGTAACCCCTCTTGTAGTGACTTTGAATTGAGGACGGACGACGTACGCGCGACAAAAATAACCCGTCGGGGGCAACCGATCGGACACTGTCGATAATGTTGGGACCCCTCCCACTCGCGAGCGGCCACTAGCAGGAAAAAAAATATAAACTAAAAAATCTAACCCAATGACTGACGAACAGAGAATAGATGAATGGAGGGGCCGAACGCGCAGATGGTCCGCGATCTTTTCAGGCACACGCAGTCTTGAGGCCAGCTCGCGAACGAGGCACGCGTCCCAGATGGTGACCGGATAGCATTTTACGTGATGCCGAACTCGCTCGTTTGAATTTGTGTGCGTAGAACTCAACGGGACTCACGCGCGAAGCCGCGGCGTCGTCGTCGTGGAGGAGCTCCGCTGCTTTGTTGAGAATGGAAGTTTGATTTTTACGCGGGCGCACTTTCTTTCGTTCTGAGTCCGCTGGCTCACTCCTTCTGAGTGAGCGGATCCTGCCGGAACTCGTGATGTTCGTCGTCGCCGACGACGACTTGATTCGATTACTTTGGGTGGGGCGCGACACGAGCGCTTCCCCTTCGCGTTGAATCACTACAGTGCAGGCAGAAGGGGAGCGTGACCAGCCGCCAGCGAAGACGACCACGGCATGCATGCATGCGTGCATTTTCATCATCCTTGACAAGGCGGCGGTGCGTGCCAAATTCCAAATACCGCATGTTGCGTTAAAAATGGCCGCCTTATCAACCGTCACTCAATCAGGCAAGCGCGCGTGATCAGCTCGACTCCGATCAGCGACGAAAGTCGGCGGCACTCGGTCAATCAGGCGGAGCGATAATTATTGATCGACGCGTAGCTTGAGACCGCCGTCGTCGTTTGAATAAAGTTTCCGCCATTGTTGCGGCATGTCTCGCTGTTCGGTGGCCATAAGTGAGTGATCCGGCCGGCGGTGCGGGCGAACGCGCGAGCTCGCATAGCTCGATGATCGGCGGGCCAGCGAGAGGTTACGAAAGAAATAGCTGCTGCACACGAAGACGAAGAAGCAGCAGCAGCAGCAGAAGTAGCAGCAGAAAGAGAGCGAGAAACGCCCCCGATTCCGGATCATTCGACCACCGGGCGTTTGGTACGCGCTGCCTCGCATCTTCGCTCGCTGCCGGTTAACTGCCGACTGACTGCTCGGCTGGCAATTCGTCTGGCTGCTGGCTGGATGGCTCGCCGGACGATGAGCAAGCAACTGAGCGAGTCGGACCGACTGAGTGCGGCTTGCCTGCTCGTGGCCTGCCGTTGAAGGGTACTTCTATGCGAAGGAGGCATCGAGCAGACGATCGAGGCAGCGTCGAAGAGCGGCCCGAGGAGCAGCCCGAGGAGCAGCCCGAAGAGCAGCCCGAAGAGCAGCCCGAAGAAGAGCAAGAAAAGAAGATCAAGCCGGAGAAGCAACAGACCGAGCGAAGGTGGCCCAAACACACGGGCAAGCAACGCGAAAAAAAGGCTCGTCGTCGTTGAAGTTGCCGTAGCTAGTACCGAAGGCCCCTCGCCGCTATCTTGCTAAGAAAATAAGCAGCACAAGAGAAAAGAGTCGAACACCTCAAGACATCGTAACAACTTCAGCAGCAGAAGTCGAAGTCATATTCCGTTGTGGTGTTCTGTCTTTGAGCAGTTGAGCAGTTTTATGGGTTTCTTCGGATACGGGAACGATCTCCCCGTGGAATCGCAGAACATCGAAGGGGACCTGAGAAGGTTCGCGCTGGATTTCAAATATGGAGAAATAGACGACAACTGTCACCGATTCCGACCGGAACCGAGAGGATAGTTGACCGCCAGCTACCGAATCGCCGCCGAGCAACCTGGAGAGCAAGCGACAGCTAACCTGGATCGGAGTGACTGACCCAGACACCATGTGCTCGCGGGCTGGCAGGCCGGCCGGCAGGCGTCCAGCAGACTCAACCCATCCGTTCTAAGCCGACCTCAACCCGTCATCGGATCGTCAGGGTCGTCGCGTGGCACCCTATCTTTCTGGTAGTCGTCGTCGTCGTCGTCTTCGGCTGGACTAACAGAGCGGCCATGTGAATAAATGTGAGTATGTTCGACTATCTGTCGGTCTATCTAACGATGTCTGTCCGTACGAATCGCTCCTTCTCTCGTGTCCGACTCCGTCTGTCTGTCGGTCCGACCGACCGTCCGTCCGACCATCCGCCCGGCCGTCGTGGTCCATCCAAGCGACCGAGAGTTTGTCATTGTTGGAGGCCCCGTGCAGAAGGCCTTACTCGAGAGACGATGAATGGCCGGAGCGCCGGTTCTGCCTCTATCGCAGTTCCTTCTTCTGACGGACGGACGGTCGCTGAGCCGGCGATCGGCAACGAGCGGTGGAAAAATGAGCCGGTCACGTGCCTGCTCGTGGAAGGCTTGTGTGCTCGTCCTCGAGAATGAATCCAGATCGAGCAGCGAGCGAGCAGCGCGCGAGAGAGAACGAACGACAAAGCAAAGGAACGCCGCCGACCTACTGATCGACTGCCTGGCTGCTCGTGAACCCTAACGCAAGACACTCCTCTCTTAGTGTGTCCTTGAGCTGGTCTTGCTCGAGGTGGGAAGGAGGTTGCATTGCTCGCTCTCTTTCGGGAAGTGCTCCAAAAATGCTTGAACCCAATTAAAATCGGCAACACCACTCCTCATTTACAAATGTCTATTCAGCAAGCAAGCATGAACGAAGACAGACAGGCTGGCTGGTTGGCTGGCTGGCAGGCAGGCTCGATGAAGTAGTACCAGGCAGCCCGGTATCGGTCCGACAAAGCTGCCTGGTGCCGACCTCTGAACCACTCTCTCTCAGGTTCGTCCGCTCGCTCGCGATCGCTGTCAGGAAAGCCGGGTGGTTGGCACACATTTGCTCGGAGTACATTTGCAAAAACCTTTCGGGCCGACCACAGCAATCGAGCTTGATCCTCGGCCGAGCCGTTGCTGCTTTCCTTCGTTCTAATCAGGTCACGAGGGAGCGAGGCCGCCTCCGCTTTGAACCAGTCAACCGGTTGGCTGGTTGCTTCGTTCCTTTTCTTCTAGTTCAGCACCGGTTCCGGTCTCAACTAGCAAAGCACCGAAGGCACCTATTACACGCAGGGAGCAGGGGGGGGGGGAGGAGGAAGAGTCGCACCGATACCGCGGTACCACCGAGCAGTATGTTCACAAACGTAAGAGTACCTATTTCCAAGGGAGGATAGTTTGCGGTCGTCGGTCTTCTCAACCGGTGAGGCCGATGAGCTGGTCGGTAGGCAGACAGACAGACAGACAGACTGACTGACTGACTGGCAGCCTACCTCCCTCCCAACCTACCTACCAGCAAGTAAGATCTTCCGGGGGAGCACGCGCCCAGCACATGACTCCCTTGAGCCGTAGCGCCAGATGGTACGCACGATGAGGAGGCAGAGTTAGCAGTCGGCGAGCCAGCCTACTACTTCTACTACTTCTCTGCTAGGTAGCCAGCGAAATGTGGAGAGGGCACCGAAGAAGTAGGTACACAGGCTAGTAGGTTGGTTCCTTGGTAGGCCCTGGCTGCTCGCCAGCCATCCAGCCAGTCAGCTAGCCTCCCTCCTTGCCTGATAGAGAAGCGAGACGAACGCCAGAGGAAAAATAGAAGAAAAAGTCGCCGCGGCATCAACACATTGTCCGCTCAACAGGCTGCCAGCCAGCCATCCATGGGGTTCATAAGAATCCAAAAATAGAAACTACGATACACAGGAGTGCCGCACTCGCTGGTTCACTCGCGCGCGCCTCATATGTGCGGGTGGTGTTGGTGCTGCTGCTGTCGTGTTGCCGTCATCGAGGAAGACGGCGACTATGAAACAACCACCGCAACAGCGGCAGCACCGGTAGTATGCTGCCAACCTCTCGAGCTAGAGCGTAGACGTTGCCAGATGCACGATCAGCATCTCACTCACTCAGCGGTCCGACAGAAGAACGCTCGGTCGGAAGGTCGGTCCACTTGCCCGACCATCGTCCTGAGAGCCGCGCCGGCCGGTCGGTCTACCTAAGAGCGGGGGGAACGAAGATGGGGGAAGACTGGGGATTCTCACCTGATGCTGTGACCAAAGCTAGGAGGACGATGCAGGGCATCAGTGACCATCGTGCGACTGTCCGACTCGCTCGACTCCGACAACTCTGGTGCCGTACTGAGGAATTTTTGCTGGACGCTGGAAAGAAAGAAAAGTTTCCGTTTGAGTGAGCGGCAGTCTCGAGCTACACCATTCAACAAAATATCAGATTCCGAGTCGGCTGTGAACGTGTCCTGGTGGTGGAGGGGAGAAACTATTGAATTCAACTTGGACATCCATTACCAAGTCGACAGATACACGGCAGTGAGACGGCGGCTGACAGCGTTTAGGACTTTTCAATGTCATCCCCGCGAACCTGACGTTCTGGCAGAAGATCTATGCTCAGCCAAAAGACATCACGGCCACTCGGAACAATAAAGGCCGTTCCGCCGAGCATCGCACTACGCTTAGTTAACAATGTCCAGAGATAGGGAAATGCAAGAAGATCCGGCGACTAATGGTTGACCTTCCCGTCTTGTGACGAGACAATGGGCAGAGCTTTGGCAATTTTTCTGGGAAGACTTCTACCTGGCGGACGGAGGTTTCGCGCGACTTGACCGATGATTGAAGGGACAATACGATGAACGGATTGAGGTCGTTCCCGATTTAAAGCGACAGATGTAGAGAATCAGGACAAGAGCTCGCCGGAGATTCTCACGTCGGAAGATCTTCCAGACTTCCGCGGCTTCGTGCGGATTGAAACACACCCATCCAGATTCGGGGGTGATCGTATTCGTTCTCTGGTACGAGCTACCGCCAGAATTGGTTTGGAGTCGAGACGACGACCGATTGACTGACCAACTCGATAGAGAAAAATCAGAAGAAGACGAAGAAAACGACAACGGAGAAGCAAAAAATGAAGAAGATGAAGGCGGACGTGCGGTGGTGGCGGTGGCCGCCGTTGTTCATCGCCGTTTTCTTCTTGAGTCGATGCGGCTGCTGCTTCAGAAGAGAAGAAAAGCAGCGCTCGCCGAACAACAAGTAAGTAAGCAAGCAAGCAAGCATTTCTCGGCAAACGGGCAGGCATATATCGTTAGAGCATGCTAAACGAACGAAGCAGTGGCGATGCCGAAGACGAGACCGCTGCCACAAAAGCTTTCGCTGGCAAGGACTGCCCGTCAACTATCAACATGGTCATCGTCGTCGTCCGTTCTCTTCGGACCGATGGCAGAAAGAGGAGCAGCAACCACGGCGAGAACTTTCGATCCGAAAGCAAAAAAAAAGGAAAAAGTACGGCTCTGTCTTCAACAACAAGCCTTAAACTTGTTAGTGGGTCTGGACAGCTCGTGAATGGCAACGATACACCGAGATGACAGCGGCAACGCTCGAAACTGATTTCGGCAAGCTCGTCAAGCGAATTCCAAAAGCATATTCCGTGCGAGTCCCACTCGGTATGGGAAGCGTCTGTTTCGTCTTCTATTTTCCAAGTCGTAGACACTAGATTAAGAGACGGGGAACGCCACTGGGAGAAACGCCGGTTCTAATCACGTAATTAGGGGAGCGCTCGACTGTAGTTCTCCGTGGCTGATGGGTGTAACCAAAATCTGGATCAACACCCTTGTCATGTCCGGGAAACTTTCCCCCACTCCGTGATGAGCCGGATCTCTTGGAACGAATGTTTATGGATGACTTCTGCAGATGAACTTCTACAAAGAAGAACATATGCGATTCCGGAAATTTGAATCAGCCGCACAATCCTATCGGCGGAGAGATTTCTTCCTGAGATCTGACTAAAGGGTGCCTAGCCGTAATCTTACGCCGAGGATTTTATGGTTGTCACTGCTGCCGTTGTTATTATTGTTGTCGTAGCAGTCCTGCAACAGACGCTCGGCGTGAGCATCAACTTAAAAAAGGTTCACTCAGGCGTTCCTCTTGTGCTGAAGGCAAGCAGGCGCACAAGCAGGCAGGCGAGCGGGCGGGTCTCCGCCGACGACGCACGGTCAGACGGAAGGCTAGCGAGCCGCTTTGGCGGGCGACCGTTCAAACGATCGGATAAGCTCAGCTCCTTGCCCAGGAATGGTCCTCGAGCAACGGAGCGGCTTTTGCCTTCGAATCCAAGCGGAATCGAAGGGGGCTGCCTGAGCCATGAACACTCGTGTGGGCGATGCCATCAGAGAGCTCGGTATCGCGAGATGTCATCGTGCACGGCCGCTTCGGGAATGCTGGAATTTTCCCCGGGATCGGAACTTTCAGGATACATATTCCTCACACAGCCGAAGTTTTCACGGTACATCGCGATCTGCGATCAGGAGCCTCAGGAGCGAAGTTCGGAGCCCTCGCTTTCAGAAATTCCTGATATTACCGAGTTTGACGAAACAATTCGTCGGCGGCTGGTATCTGTCGCTCACTCACGGGGTTGCGGTGCCGCTTCGGCCGTGGGTTGCGCTCTGATCCATTCAGTCGGTTTTGCTGCTGACACAGCGCAGCCGAGCGGTGGTCGCCGCTTCAGCCGCAGCCAAAGTGTCATTTCCGTTACATTTTCATTCTGAGCCAATCTAGATCCGGCTGTTGCTCCTAGTTCGTGATTCTTTTTTGCATTTGGCACGCGGCTCTCTTTGGCCTTTAGAGATGTGCGGCTGCTTCAAACTTTAGCTGAAGTTCAACTGGGCAGGCAGGCAGCTACCTTCCTTCATAATGTTTTTTGGGATGCACACACACACTCGCTCCATGCACACCGTCTCTTCTAGCTCGAGCCATGCGACCTTGAAAAGTGGGTCGTGTGGCCACGCTGCTATTTCGTTTGCAGCTGCCGGTGCGGCTGCAGCCGGCTGATGTACTCCAGACAAGCAACGGAGCAACTCAAACTACCCGCCATCGGCTAGTGAGACAGCAAGAAAAATTCGTTTTGCCGTCTCATGGCAGCCGCAGAACAGGCGGCGGCAGCGGCCGGCGGCGGCCAATCAGCAGAGAACGAGTCCCCACTTCAAATCGGCAAACGTTGGACTCCCACGCAGGTCAGCGGCCGCCGTGGCCTCCCGCACAACCCGTACGCACCGGCGAAGTATGCTTCAGCAACGAAGCGGCGTTGGAATGTTGTTCAAATTCAGCGAATGAGCTGCTGGTGCGGCCGCTGCTGCAGATGCAGGATGGCTCCTCGATCTTCATTGATCGAAACCAAATTAAGAGAGCAAGCTTCCTCGGCGACACCTCTTCCGTCGAAACTCGTTTCTTGAAAGTTCGCCCGCTCCGTCGGGGAAAGCGCCGGCGGCGAGGCGGCAACCGTCGAGGGTTCATTTATCACACGCAAAGACACACTTATTTGGCACGAGGTCGACGCTGTAGGTCCGAACTGAGCGGCTTCGACGACGACGACGACCTAAGCACTTGGTTGTCAGTTTGAGAAGAAACAGACGAGCCTCGCTGCCGATGAGAAACTTTCCGGAGAATCGTTCATCGTTGCGATTCCTCATGGCGAGCCGTGCGCTTCTCTCGAATCCCAACAGCGAGCTGCTACTCAGGGGGAGACTCGTGACATGATTATTCTTCGGGATCGCGAACGATCTGGCTGACAAATTCAAATGATCGAATCCCATTGCGGTCGCTCTTCTATGGAGCTCGGACTTGAATCTGGGGTCTGCGTTCAGCTAGGCCCCCGAATCAGCAACCGCGCATAGAAGTTCGGCCTGGAATTCGAGCCACGTGGTCGGTGAGCACGCCCGCGGAGATACTACTAGGAGGAAGATTCAGATTCGGTAGGTTCAGACCGAATTCTGTATACGTCCACCGCTCGCATGGTTCTCAATCAGCGCATTGAGACGCCCATTTCAATCGACGCGACGTGAGGGAAAATTTCTAGGCGGGCGGCTGCGTGTCGACGAGGCGCGTGCGTGCTTATATCCAGCGAAGCCGTTCATTCATTGATCCATCCATCTTGTATTTTTTCGCGTCTTCTCTACCGGATCTAATTCCTGTACCATTTTTAAGTGAACCGATTTTTCGTCTTGACTCCTACTACAAGAGCCCACCCACGCAACGGCAGCGGCCGCTGCAGCAAGCGAAGCGAGCGGACGCGCAGACCGACAACCCGAACGGCGAACGACCGAAGTGCGAAGTCATTGAATCAAGCAAGTCAACGACGGAGCCACGAGGTCTCAACGGCTGTTCTCAGTGCTCCACCGAAACCCATGAAAATGCATAAAGCATGAAAAACACTCGTGGAATACCTATGGATCAGAGAAGCTTTGAATTTAAGGCTTCGAAAGAGCCCGGAGACTTCTCCGCATGGGGAGCTTGCTTGTCCCATCGCCAGTATTCCGTATGGGACCAGGCACGAGCTCATACAAAATTGGGAAGATCGAAGGTTCGAGGAACCCCGAAACTTGGCTCCAGTAAGTCCAAGGAGGAACAAGTCAGTTTGAGAAGAAGCGAACCAGCTTGAGCCCCGGACGCAATGCTCTGCTTACGAAAAAAAATCTTCCAGCCATGCTCTGAATGCGATGCCGCGTTTTCTCTCCGCCGAACAGTCAGATGATCTTTGAAGTCACACGCGAGTCTTGGATACTACAGCGCTGGGATCTGTTGTTCCTAAACAGATACCAGAGATAAAATCGGCGCTTGAGCAATTTTCATGCTAGCCATTCGGAGTTCCGCCATGTCGCTACTGTTTGAATAAGCTCCGCTCTTCAAAATACGTCCGAAAACATTATACACGTCAGCCTTCGCTCTGGACCGACATCGAGCACTCGGATTCCGGAGCTGGCGAACTTCAGCTCGCTAGGCGAAGTTGTGGATCACAATAGTCCGTCAGCTGCGTATGATGAACAACAGAAGCTGCCGACGGGATGAATGAGACACTCGCATTCGGGGGTGTATCCGGTCACACGAGAAGCTCTGGAGTGATCGATAAAAACGATATCAAGTTGATCACCCCGTCAGTACTTTCAAATTATTGAGCTTCAAAGTAGCCGACATCGTTGATTGGAGTTGGGTGACGACAACATCTCGGAGACGAATGTACCACATCGGGGCTACAATGGCCAGTTGTCCCCTCTCGAGCGCTGATTAGTGGCTGCTCCGGCTTCGATGGATTCCACTTACAGCCCCATCGAACGGGAGAGCTTGCCAGGTAGAGAACATAGGCGTGGGATGCCTCATATAGGAGATAGCTAAGCTGGGCGAACTCCACATTTTCGATTGAGACATGAAGGGGAAAGCATCCTAGCTTGATCGAGACAGGTATCCGTTCCGCATGCCGCCGAGGAACGAAATGACATAGTTTACGGATCTTTATCATTTCGTGATCCGAAGAACGAGACGCAAGGGGGAGCGAGCGCTTCTGAAGTTGAACCGCGGAGTGCCCTCTACAGGAGTATCTCACGGTGTGTGCTGATAACGAATAATCGTCATGGGGGTTGTCGAGATCGAATGAGCGGCTCACGGGAGAAAGAGAACCGTGGCAAAGACCTGTCCTGCACTTTGAAAATAATACCCCTCCTTCTCCAGGTCGAACTAGGAAGGTTCGGAACGTTCTGCCAGCCAACTGTGTAGATTCAAGCGGAGTGAAAAGTCCATGGAGCCGCTTGCCTGGCAGTCAGGCAAACAGGCAGGCAGGTAAGCGGGCGGGCGGGCAAGCGTTCAGGCAAGCAGGCTCACTTTGCTACCGTCGACGACGGTGTGCGTTCGTATGAAGCTGATTGCGATGCTCTTTCGTGTGGAACGGACGCCAAACCCTGTCTGCCGTGGTGGCGATGCCAGCGGCTTCAACGCGGCTCACAGCAAACAGCGATGGCCAATAGGAGAACAATGCTACGGACAATATCGAAGACGACGACGTCGTCGACTTCAACAGCAGCGAGAGAATCTACGGGCAACGAGAAGTTTTCAATGATTTCAGCTTCACAGTGTTGGTAAGCGAAGTCACCGTTGTCGTGACGGCTGACGTTGTTCGAGAGAAAACGTCGTTAGGGGTCGAGCGGTTGTGAAAAGCGCTCGCCGGCCGGGTCGAAATTCTGTTACGTAAAATTAAGCTGAAGATCCGCTAAAAAAATTCACCTTCGTTTCGTTGTCGCTCCCCTTGGCTATGATGAAGGTGATGATGGTCGTCCGACACACTACAGCTCGCACATGTTGGACACGTTGTTGGTGAAGTTGATGAAGGTGACGATGATGATTTCGATAATAATAATAGTAATAATGATGGAGGGGTGCTAGAATGGTTTTGCCGGCAGCAGTGGTGGCAATGGTGAACATGAGGTAAATGGGAGGAGGAGGATTGAGGTACTACAATAGTGGTGGTAGCACTTGTGCTGGTAGAGGTGGGGACGGTGTCTGACGATGAGCGAGAACAACAAGTTGCCGAAGTATCCATTTTGTACTTGTTGTGAATTCGATGCTTGTCTCTCGTCAGTTCTACAATTCGAACAGCACTAGAACTCGACGTTGATAGTTCAGGAGCACTTTCACTCAAAACTGCGTTAACACCACCTACTAGTCCACGCCAACAACAAGACTGGCAATAATCTGGTGTACCTTCGACGACACCAGATTTCCTTCGATTGTTGCCGTAGTGAATATCGGAGTCTCTGTCGCTGTCGCTTCGGACGACACTGCGATGTCCGAGTCGTTCACAACATTCGCGTAGATGCGAGTCGAACTCGAGGGGGCAGACACACTGAACCGAGGTACTGGTCGCAGCTGAACAACAAACTTTCGATAGGAGTGTTGCTTTTTCTGTTTGAGTTGGTGTCTGTGACTTCTTAGTCGTCGTCTGAGGTCTGCTGGCACACACGGCACACGGGGTCATGTCCTGGTTCGTGTCGTCGTCGAGGGTTTTGTCGTTCGCTAGTATTATTGCTCAGACTACCGCATCGACGGAGCAGACGTCAGCTCTTCACGAGAGTTGGAATAGAACTGACTGACTGTCGTCGACTATTCGCCGCTTGTTTGGTGGCGAGCTGGCTTGCCGGCCTGCCTGCTTGCTTGCTCGGTTGCTCTTCGCCGCTGCTGGCGCTGCTGGTTCGATTGACGCTGCTGATGGAACACGGTGCTGCCGCCGCCGCCGCTGCTGCAGCTTCTCTCACCTGGAGCACCAAACCAAGCAGCGCTGGAGCAGTAAGACTAGCGGCGGCGGTGCCAGCAGCGGCACCAGCAGCAGCCAGTACCTCCTCTCTCCAGAGTCCCCACCGCCAGTTTCGCCGGCAGCAACTGCGGCGGCCGCGGCGACAGCCGCAGCTCACAAGTCCACATAGACCATGAGAAGGCCGTAGGGGTCTGCTGTTTGCCGTCCAGTGGTTAGCGCACGACCGCCACCGGATCGTCGAGTACCTCGGGGGCTTTGGGCGAACTACTGCCAATCTCGCGCGAGCCGGCAGCGCTGAAGTACCGCAGCCGATGCAGGACCCGTTCCCATCGCGAAATGGAGTCCGATGCAATCATTTGCGACATCTGCTCGGACCAATTCCACGAGTCAAAATCTCCCTCATCCGCCCCCGCTTCGTCTCTCCTTGGTCAATCCGGAGGAATTTATCGAATTCGTTGGGGAAAAGAAGCGATCGGGCAGTTTCCCGGCGAAAGTAGACCCCCAATCTAGCAACGTATAGAACGCAGACAAAGCGCCTTCCCTCGGCTTGTCATCTTTCCAAGGAAGCGACCACTACATTGAGCTCGCTTGGGAAATTAACCTTCCGACTCGGTCGCTTTATTTGAAGAAGGGATCAAAGCTCTGTTGTCGGACCTTTCCGTAAGCCGCGGCTCATTTAACACCCCGCGATGATGGATCGTTGATTCTTCGATTGCTGGACGAACTCACAACACTGTGAATAGAGTTTGACCGCTGGGTTAATGAGATTGATCAATTCACCCCATCTGAGAGCCCATCGCGGTTTTCTGAAGAACCGTCGGAGCGCACTCACGAGGCCGACGCGACGATTCGGAATGATGATCAGCGGCTCCATTCCGTGAATTAGGCTTGCTCGATCAGTCTTCGCTTGCCATCGCTTTATTCCCGTAATTCTAATTGATAATCGACGTCTTCTATCGACATATCGGCCGTAGTTTAAGGCACATATGCGAAGTTTTTCTACAGCTCCGTCCGTACATGTAACTGAGTGAGAGCGCCTACGTTGAGCCGCGGATCCGCCCGTGAACGACGCGATTTTCTTAGAGATCTGAAGTCTTAGGCTCAATCTCAGATCACACTTCTTACACTTCAAGGAATCCGCTAAGGTGGCTAAGTCTGATTCACCTTCACGCGAATGGCGCTCCGACTGATGAAAGAACTCGCCGGGTTTCATATAGATGAGGTGCTTATTCCACAATCACGAAAGCGTCGGTGCTTATTCCTCCACCTCGAAGGGTAGATCCCTGGTAAACAAGTTCGGTGCCCCGGCTCATTCGTTGTCCGCAGCACTCGCTCGACACCGCGGAAATCAGCGGACGGAATCGCCTGCTTTCTGGACGGATGCAATCCTATGTTCCTTCTCCGCTCGGCCGTGCAGGACGGCGGGGCCCATCACGAGCAGGACAGGGCTTTCCCTTGGAGAGCGTTGCAAGCGCTCGATCGGAAACGTGAGGAACGTTGTGATGACAGTGAAGGATTGTAAATCAGCATGGAATTCTCGCATGTCGATGAATGGAATTAATTCGTCGTCGTCTTTGTTGCAAATTCCTGACCTCGTTCTCCGGAACGTATGCTGGCATTATGTGCTACCGAACCGCAGGATCTCGCGTCCTCGAAGTGTTCAGTATGCCTGTCGCTACAAATGAAGTGAGAAGAGAAGAACGCGCGCACAAAATCTAAAGAAGCAAATTCTTCAGAGAAGAATACCACCGACCAATAGGGCTCGCTATTCGTGGAAGAGTTGCTTTGCTCTCAGCGATTTCGACCGCCGCCGCCCCACGACGACGATAGAACGCACCATCAGCGACCGATCAACGTATCCAGCTCGTATAGCTGAGCGGCCTATCTATATCTGTTTTTCTCCAACCAACCCGGCGAGCGAGCGATCGAGCTGCCTACCTACCTCAGCGAGGTGATCTGAAGTGAGCTGAGGTTTGTTGAAGAACTCGAGCTAGCCGACGGGACGAAGAGCGGACCTGAAAAGGGGCCGAGAGAATACAACGCAGACCCGCAAAGGAAAAGCCGCGTAATGAGGCGACGAAGAGCTCGAACTGATGCTTTTCGGGCCGACCCGTGGGGACCCGGGACGCGGTTGAACCTCCGGAACGAGCCTGGTCAAGCCTAGCCATCAATTCCCTCATCATGGGCCGAGACTTATCCGATGGTTGGTATGGTGAGGCGATCCAGGTTGGAGAAAGTTTTCCAAACAATCCTCTACCGGGGAGCTAATCTCGTTCGCGAGGTAGGTTGTAGATGCGTCGAGCGAGAGATTCCGCTGGAGATATGGTAATGAAGCGACACCTTGGCTATCGCGATCGCAATAAAGGGATCGAGAGATCGTGATGAGATATGACGTGAAAATCGTTTCAGGGCCGGGATCCTCGTTCTCATTTGGGGCACTCATTCAATTAGAATCCGGGCTTTGAAGAGGTTCCGTGGCCGAACTCTCTCGGAGTCGATTGGGTCCTCGGCCACGTGCAGACAGATATTCATAGATTCTCGTGCTGCCTCCGATCGAGTAGTGAGCAGCCACACGGGCTAGCGGACGAGCGGGCTGGCTGACGGGCTGGATGCTTTGGATTGAGCTCAACCAGATGTTGTTTTGGTATCACCTGCCTATTCTTTCTCCTTGTTCTTTGACTACGCTGCCTTCTACCTTCTGCTGGAGACTCGCCGCGGCTACTGCTGCTGCTCGCCGTGTCGAAGAAGGGGTCCACCCTCCATAAGAGTGCTAGTAGTAGCAGTAGTAAAAGTAGTAGTAGTTGTAGCAGCACTCCGTTAGGCTCCGGACTCGCCCTCCACGCGTCGTACAAATGTCTTGGATTGCTTCGAGCACCTGGACTTCTGCTGCCGCCGTCACTATTCTATTCCATGGGCAGTCTATGAGCAGCAGCAGCAGCAGCAACAGCGACAACAACAGCTATGTTACCCCGCACACGCCGGCACGCGTGCGCCAGCTGAGACCCAAGACGATGTTGACGAAGAGAAAGAAGGCTCGATCTGAAGTCAGCGCTGACCTTTCTACACACAGACAGTCGCACGACACTCGCAGGCAGACAGTGACGATCCCGTTAAGGGACTTACGGGGTAGTCTCATCCATCGGACGACTCATGGCGGCCGATTGCCTCGCTTGAGGGCTCCGCTCGGGCATGTTCCTGTGGATCTCAGATGGAGAACTGTTCTCCCGATTCGTCTGACCGAGGGATCGAGAACGGCACCTTCTCAGCGCGTTCCGCCCTCTTCGGATCGAGGATCTCGCTGGGGGGAATTGATACGCCGATCCCTCGGACCAAGTTCGTTTAGCGACTTCACGGTCGATTGTCGGTGGACATTCAATTCTGCGATATCAAACGGATAATCAGATGCTGCATTGCCAAGCAGCCCCTTCAATAATAATTTGAAGCCGTTGCGAATCGGACCTATTGGTCTGCCTCGCATGATGTGATCGGTGGGTTACATTTGTGCGCCAAGTGAAGGACAGCGGGTTTCCGCGTCAATGCTCCGCGTAAAATTACCCGTTATCCAACACCGAGCGACCTTTCATGGCGATCGGTCAGCTCATCGTAATGCAGTCGTTGATAACTTTCATTGGTTCGTTAATTGTTTGCTCATTGTTTTTCCGTGAGATAAACATGACTTTTTCTCTACGTCCTTGCTGAATTCCGATCGTCGGACGGAGATAGCTCAACATTGCGTTCTGTTAATCACTTCGACGCGTCCCGGCTCGAGTTTTGCGAAAAAATCATCGGGTTCCTCATTGAGAAAAATACTCAGTATCCTGAAAAAAATCATGTCCCTCACCGCTCAAGCCTCCTCCATCCCTGTCGTGTCAAACGATCTCGAATCGAGTTTGCTTCTCGTACGACGAAGCATGCTTGAAGTTTTCAGAAGAAAAACGAACCTTCCCTAATGAGCCTTACCGTGAGTTTTGAATCAAGGAGCACATTCAGTCAGAGACGCATGTCTCCTTCACCTGTATCCTCCCTCGTCGCGGTGTTTTTTTTGCTTTGAACACTCTGGCAAGGCCACTTCGGGCTACGGACAGATGTCTTGCGACTTCAAGCGAGATCAATGCGACGAGGCTCGTTGTTTCGTTTCGGCACACGCGGGCAATCTCGAGATTATCAGATTTTCTCCGGAGCAAGCTCGCTTGCTAA